ACTGCCTGGACGTGCTGGCACACAGAGTCAGTGTTCTCCCAATAAAGCAGCACAGACACTATTCTCCACTGTTACAGAACATGATGAAACCTGCCTTCATCCGTGGGAAACAACGTTCAGTGTCATATGTAGTTATTTAGTTTTTTTCTCACTGCCATTCATTTGCTACTTACATAAAAATGTGTGTGTGTTTGTGATGATGATGATAATGGAACATTTCATAGAGAGTACAGAAGGAGAGAGGGAGAAGGAGAAGGTGAGTAATGGAGCACCTATGAGATGAAAGTAGAGTGGCTGTGTGGAGGAGGGAAGCATCTGGCAAGAGAAGAGGGACAGGGGAGAGCAGAAGGGGAGGAAAGTGAAGAGGAACAAAGTATAATGGGATGCATGTATGAAAACATGATAATAAAATCTATTCCTTTGAATGCTAAGGTAAAAACTTAAAAATTTTAAAATTATAAAGAGAAGAAAAAGTTCAGCTCTGTCATTTTTATCTAATGTTCCTAACAGAGACCTCTTTCCGTGTGCTCACAAGCATAAACCTATCCTCGGACATCATTTTTTTTTTTTTCCTGTAGTTGCTCAAAAAAAGCAAGAACAAAAAACCCAACACATAATAAATAGGAGTCCTTCTCTAGAACAAAGGAAGTTTGTTCCCGGGAAGTACCTTTACCTAACAGCAAAGAAATCAGCCTGTTGAAAATATGAATGGAATCCCCAGATTTTCAGCGCTGTCCCCTGGTCAAGAAACTTCCATATATGAACTTTGTGAAAACTTGAATATGTATCAAGACTTATGTAGGAAAATATACAGTGGCCAAGGGAATTGATTGGTTTGATCTTTGTGACAAAGACTGGGGGTTTGCAGAGCAGGAGGCTTGCTTTTCTGCATTGGCCATTTTAGTATTCATGGCCCCTATACTGCTTTCTAAGAGGTTAAGAATGTATTGGGAAACAGCATGCAGAAGTAAGAGATGAAAGAAAGAACTCTGCAAAATAAAAATGAATTTCTCTTTTATTTTTTAAAAACATTTTCTTACTTGAGTTTCTTTTAAGATGTATTTATTTCATGTGCATGTTTTGCCTGCCTGTATGTCTGTTCTCCACATGCATTTCTGGTGCCCATGGAGGCCGGAAGAAGACATCAGATCATCTGTAATTGGAGTAACAGGCAGTGTGAGCCCCCATGAGGGCCCTGGGAATAGAAACTAGATCCTCTGGAAGAGTAAATAGTGCTCTTAACTTCTGAATATCTCTGACCAGGCACCTCCCTTTTTTTCTTAATGGGCAAAAGAACCAACAATGGTCAATTTGCGTTTGCCCTATATCCCACAGTTATAAAGGGGCTGCATCGTCAGATGTTATTTCTGGGACTTTGGGGACAGAGACTTGAGAGCCTTTTCGGTGTTGCTATACACCAATTCTATAGTGTTATGGTTCCAAATAGGAATAAAAAATCAGTCTCTGCCAGCATGGTATCAGGGTATTCTTTGGGGGAAGAGCTACTGTCTCCATTGATGTTTTTTGGTTGGATCAAGCCCCTAGTCCTTTATTTATTGATTGTTTTGGGTTTGTTTATTATTATTTTATTTTATGTGTCTTGCCTACATGTATGGCTGATTTGCCTATACCATGCATGTTGGTGGTCCTTGGAACTGAAGTAACAGATAGTTGTGAATTGCCCTGTGAGGGCTGGGAATTGAACCCATGTCCTCTGAGAAAGCCACAAGTGTTCCTAATGGTTGAATGACCCCTCCAGTTCCTATTCATTGATTTGGTAATGCCAGGATTTGAACTTGGGTGCTTATGCATTCTAGGCAAGTGCTCTATTGTTGGGATACATCCACAACACTTGAAGTTTTATTTCAGTGTCGCATACATGCTTTTTCTCCCCTACAGCTCACTTGTTCTCTTCAGTTTATTATTTCTTAGGTGAGGATCCCCGAGTCCCTTCACTTCCTCTTTGTTATGCAATGTATGCAAATGGTGTAGCTCCCACAAGGTGGTGAGTGTGTTACTGGCTGGGTGACAGTCTCTGTGGAAGAGGGGCCTGTCTGCAAGATACCTAAAGAAATGTTTGCTCCAGCTAAGTGGAGAAAATGCTCTAAGGCTCAGAAACTCTTAACCCTGGGAACCTGGTGACTGACTCTTTAGTTTGCGCGAGGACACTCTTTCAGTGAACAAGCAGACTGTGAATTAGGAGACTGTTACCCATGCTGACTGGTCATCCTGCTCTCTCTGAGAACTAATTTGGTGCTTCTAGGTTGAAAGAATGTCTGTGGAAAGTTCTACATCCCCTACTGTTTCATTGGATTTGGGGAAATTAGAAATTTTTATTTACTAGTGAGAGATTTTTTTTTTAAAATAGTTTCATGTTCCAAATAAAATGGAACCCTGTGATGGCTATGATTTTTTTTTTTTTTTTAGATTTGGATAAATTTCAAATTTAGTTTAAAAAAATATAAATTAGCAGAAATTATCCATATTAAATTATTATGATTTCTTTAACAAATGTGAAACTATGCTGTCACTTGGGGCCATGGGATCCCAGCCTGGCAGGAAATAAAGTATATTTTTAATGCACAAATCCCAGGGACATGAAGAGTATTTATTAGAAAAGCAGGTTTTCATTCCAGAGCTCTGAGTGTGCCTCAGGATAGAAGGAAGGTTAAAAATCCTTAAGCATGTTCTCAATGTAGGAAGTTGTGTATGTCATGACGTGTGTATCTTTATCTCATTCCGGATGAGCTGTGTTAGTAGGCGACCATCCAATATTATTTCTTAGTCTGTAGCTTATTCCCATCTCACATATGAAAAGTATGGAAAATCGGCTGTCCATTTGGGAGGAGTGTTATCTCTACTCTTTGCATGGAGAAGTTGCAATGATTGACACACATCCAATGTAAAGACACAACTCTCGTGCTAGTGCCAGCAGTAGCACTGACAATAGCGACAGCACTTGGAACTTCTTGAGTCCATGCTGCATGCTCGATGATGCATGCAGTGCTCTTTTAAAGCACTGTAATGACTCAGAATGTTTGTAGGACATGGTCAATGGGAGAGATCTGTGTTCAAGTCCAGGATTGAAAGCTCATGCTTTATGAGAGTAGATACTTGCAGGCAATATGGAAGCTCTAAGTAAGCTGACTGTATGTCGCAGCCTATGGCATAATTGGCAGGCTCCCTTTCATCCCAGTTTGGGCAACAAACCTGAAACCTGACAATCTATCTCTGAGCATGGCTTAAAATGAAGATAAGAGGCTATGGAATGGTTCAGTGGATAAAGACACTTATTGACAAGCCTGATGATCTGTTTGGTTCCCAGCACCCACGTGATCAAAAGGGAAAATTGATTTCTCAGATTGTCCACTGACCTCCACATGCACACCCACAAACAAACAAACAAGTAAATGTAAAAAATATCAAGTATCTGGTCTTCTGGAGATGCTGTTTACGATTCTGTTCCCTGGCCTGGAGGGTCTCAGATAAATCCCAAATTGGGTGTAGAGTGGAGCATTTTAGAGAGCAGGTGGGTTTGTCAAGAACTAGTTTTATTAGTGGAGTTTAAAATCTTGCTGCCACTTATGTTCTGCTTATGTTTTTATCTCTGGAAATCTTTTGTCCTTCCTTCATCTATCCATTGAGTTTGCGTATCATCTGTACAGGAGTCCTCTGTTGATCAGATGCTGTCAAAACATCTGATTTTGCTTCAGCTTTGGTTTCTGATGCATCTTTAAATTACAGATAGCTCACTGACTAAGATGTTTATACCATGGCAAATGACATTTTCACCCAAAAGAGAATCAAAAGCATTTTAAAGACATCATTAATGTATTTTCTCCCTCCTCTCTCTGCTTAATCTTGCTGTTTCTTTTCCGCCACTTCCTTACTACAGCCATAGTATAGTACTGTCCAGGGAGCCTTCTTGACGCAGTGCCTGGACCATGCTACTGCCGGTTTTGCTGGGGAAAGGCCAGCTCCTCGGTGTGTTGTTTCAAGCCCCACCTCACATGTCTTGACTCCTATTCTGCTCTTAAGAAAAACCTTTCCCTGCTTCTATTATTTTAAGGGGCTTTCAAGACGAGCCGAGGAAACCAGTTTACAAGAATAATCTGCTAAAATACACAAATGCTTTAAAGACATACCCAATAAGGAAGTTAACTTTCACTTTTGTTGGTTTTAAATGTACGGCTTTGATTCATGGATCAAAATTGCTCATTTATTATTTTATCTATACAGCTCCGGGCAATCTTGACAGTTAAAATTTAGTTTTATTGACCAGTGCAGCCACTGTGCCCACAAGGGGACTGGTGTGAGCAGCCCTACTGCACTCAAGAAACGATGATTTTTGATTCCATGACTGCATCAGATCAGGACTCATAACCGATACAACAATATGTTCCAAATCTCAGTGCCCAAGGCAAGAGTTCTGCTGTAAAACACAATCACCCTTTAAGGAGAGCCTTGGCTGGACATTTGCGAGCACAGTTTAATGCAGCTGGGGGAGGCCACGAGTCTATCTGTCCATCAAGCTTTGGAGCAGCCTAAGGAGGCCATTTCTGGAAATACCTTGTCTTCCAGACTAAGGCTGGGCAAGGATGCTTAAAGGGCAAGTGGTGATGTTGGTAAAAGAGACAATGAATTAAACTACCTACCAATTTGACGTGAGAAAACTTACTAGTGTGACTAAACAACCCTTCAGTTTTTTTCTAACTGAAGCACTTCTGAGGGATGATTTCTGCTCCATGCCCTTCCCCCCCTCATCCATTCCAACACACACAGAAACACGAACCAGGCCAGTTTTAATTGAGGCCTGTTCCACTACCAAATTGGCAATGTTAATTTAGTCTTTTACTCTAAATCTCCCACTATACATAAACAAACCTCCAAAGGGTAGCAGATCGATACAGTGCCTGATTTGATTTAACTGTGCTTTTTAATTCATCAGGACAACTCCAACCTGAAATAAACAGGCAAGGAAAACAGATAAGCGCACTCACTTGTGAGTATTTTCCATGTCTTCTTTTCATCATCATAATACTGAACCAGATTGCTGGGGAGTCGGTCCGGCCCAGGAGGCAACCCTCCAACCAACAGCAGCATTTTCTTGTTAGAGCGAATTCTTCACCCAAAACAAAAGAGGAGACGGATAACCACATTATTGTAGAGTCTTTTAGGTGGCCATGAAATCATAACCATCAAAATGCACATTTCTGTTTTATTTTTTCCTTTCTTCCTTCTTCTCCCATTCATATCTCACCAATTCTTTTTGAACCAAACAGAAAAATGAGCAGGAGAGCTTCACATCCTTATACTCATGGAATAATAAGCATCCTTTATGCAATTTGTTAGAGGTTCATTCTAGAACGACCTTTCCCTTATATTAGCCCTTTAAATCATCACTCTTTACAGCTGAGTACACATGAAATGCTCTAGAGTTGTACCCAGGCTAAGCATTAAAGTTGCATGTCAAAAAATGTATTAGTCAAAATCATTATTATAAGCCATTCTCCACTCAGAGAACCTTGAAAAAATTAAGGTTATGCAGAGAGTTTGGAAGTCTATCCTTTAATCACCCAGGGAACTTCAAACACCAGTTTGGTGCAATTAGCACAGGGCTAACTGGGGTGCCCGGACCTGTCTAAGCATGCGTTTTTGTTTTGTTTGTTTGTTTAATTTAGCTTAGACTTCTGCCTCCATCCCCATCCCCCACTTGGGCTAGCCCTCCCCTCTGCTCTCCCCCTGTGCTCCACTGGTAATACAGCAGCACCAATTGGTAAAAATGAGACTGTGATGTCGTTGTGAGCCTCCCTAGAGTGGAGCCCTGCCAATGCTTGCCACTGATCCAGCGGCATGAACCTGCTCAACTGTGCAAAGTCACTCTAATTCCCTCCCTCTGTTTTTCTACCTTCTCCCCCAGGGGGCAACCACTGAAAGGAGTGACTACCCACCCATCAAGAGCTGGCAATTCGCTGCTATTAACCGTGACTGTGATTCCCAGTCTGCCTGGCAGTTCCTGAGAACAGGCCTGCAACGTCTCATATGCAGTAAAAGCTGTAAGATGCACCCTGGCCAGCCCACATGACCTGATGGATGTACAGTCCTCAGGAACAGTAATGGATTGAGCACACGTGCCACTGAAGCAGGGAGAGAAAGCCCAGACCCCCACAAGGGGCCTGCTGATTTAACACTCACTTTACATATAATTGAACTTTTCATTTACCTGAAGACACAAGGTGGTTGGCGGGGAAAGAAATGGAACAACCATGATTGAAGGGAAAACTCGATAGATACAAGAGAGCTCCTCTTAAATCTAATCGCAACCCACGGTGTGACTCTGAATCTGTGATGACATATCCAGTCCATTCTGACTCAAGGATGCCTGGTGAAATAGGCCCTGAGGAGAAGCTTTGTGTGTTGGTTAGGAACCTAATACTCAGAATTAACTTAATACGGTTAATGGCATTTCCATATGAAGGAAGGGAACAAGAGAATTCCTTTAATGAAACTCTGGTGCCTTTGGATGCATCTAGTATGCCTCAGTAGGAACAGTACCTTTTGGGGAAGCTACACTACCAGCCATCGACAGAGGGAGCTGTACCAATAGATAAATGACCCACACAATCAGCAGCTTGAAACACTCCTTTTCCCATCCTGTGGCTGTAACTGAACAAAATGAAAAACACACAGATCCAATGCCTTCAAAGTGAACACATATTCAAATCGTAGCCTGATGTCTTCTAGGCCACTAGCTGGTACATACAAATGGAAGACGGTAACAAAGATCACCGTATGCTGCAGATTCCGGTCATCAGTGACTTGTGAGACAAAGGAATATCTGCATCAAGCTTTTCTTCTTCTTCTTCTTTTTTAATTTGGAAGTAAATTGAAAGTATGCTTCTTCTTTTAAATTTGGAAGTACATGCAATTCATGTACCATGTAACTTTGCAAATGCATGGTCAGAGAATTGATTATATGGGCTTTTTTTTATCTTCTTTAAACTGTTATTTGAGGCCCAAATAATCAAGCATTCCATTTGTGTGAGGGAAGTCATGATGAAAACAGTTTGGTGTATGTAAATTTGTGACAGTAGTCTGGCCAGTGGCTGTCCTAAGATCATAGGTATAAATGCTGTGAGAGCCCAGGTAGAATCAATCTCCAGATGACTAACAAGGAAGAAAGGGCTTTGGCAAGTGGAGTTTGCTAAAAAAAAAAAAAAAAAAAGGAATAAGGCTAAATATCTTATATATTTATTTTCTAAGCACTACTTTAAAATGTGCTTAATAATGACTAACTAAGATACAAGCCTGGCTCATGTATGTTTGTTAAGGTCATCTTATTCCCTGGTAAGCCAGTTTCCCTGGACCAGTCTTGCTGGTGTTTTTCCACAATGGTGTTGATGGTTCATCATTGAGGATGAGAAGAGAATCTGGAGTTTATTTGTTACTACTCAAAATATCCACGAGTTCTCTAAGAACTGGACTTCATATCAACCCAGTTGGCAAGTGGTCAAAGCCTCCAACCTGGTCAATAATGACACCACTGAAGGCCTAGCTAGCCAGTAACATCGAAAGACAAATTCCCAATGCATCCAAGTCTCCCTGGGAAATGCCCTGGAGAGTTATGTGGGAGAAAAGGGAATCCCCAATTCCTTCATTGGATATATGTTTTCCACCAGATGGCAGGACTTGCCTTTGTCATGCAGAGATTTCTTGCATGACAAGGACATGTTTCAAACCTTTTGAAACTATTGTTTTTATATGGTTGTTAATTACATTTTAATTTCTAAAGTTTGTAACTCAATTGTCAATAATTTTTAATCCCAAATAAAACTTAAATTCTGTTCTGTCAACATACATGACATACTTCAAAGAAATTGTCTGTATTAATCCCAAAACTCTGTACAATGAATATACACAATGTACAAATTTATATATATTGCAAAGCTAAAATACAAGAAATCTAGACTAACTAATTTGAAGAAAGTTTCAATGATCAAGCAAAACCTACAAGTGTCTTATTGCAAGAATTAGAACTCCTTATTAAGGCAAGTTGGCACACATTTTAGAGGATCTTTACAGTAGTCTTCATCAACACATTCAATTTATAGCTTTCATTATTTAAAAATATTCCTTTCATTACTCCCTTTAATATCACCAGGGCCAAAGTACAGTATTTAAAGGAAAACAAATGAGAGTCATGCAAACCAAAAGCTTAGGCAGGTCAGGTAGACAGTATTTGGATGCTTTTGCTTTCAGCTCCTCGAGTCTTGCATACAAAAATATAAGGTGAGGAAAGGAGTGATGGGATTTGAAGGTCTCCTTCATTCCGGCTCGCTGAACGCCCAACATTTGCCATGTGTCACATGTGGGTGTGTGCCTTCATGCCTGTGCACTCTCCCGCACACCTAGTTTGGTTCAGGGGATGAATGATTGAAAGATGACCTAAAACTTCTTGGTGTAAACAAATTTTTCATCCACACTGGTGTCTTGAGTGGGGAAAAGTCTCATTTATTTATATAACAATGATTTGGAATGTTCGTAATTGGGAAACAGGCCAGATAAAGCGATCTGTTCCAAGATACACAAAGATAGTTCCCATTCATGAGATTACAAGAATAATTTTAACCCATTGGGGGGGAGCTCAGCAAGTTTACAGGCATTTGCAGGAAGTTTACTTCATAAATATTATTATAATTTTCATGTTTGTAAAGCAAGGCATTCTGTAGGGTCATAGAAATGATTAAATCATGAAATTGGAGGATAATATTGAGGTAATGGAGCTAAGTGATTCCCAAATTTTACAGGTTCCCAGGGTTACCTGAGGGGCTTAAATATTTTAACTTCATGGTAGAGACTCTCAGTTTCTAATTCGCAGAGATCTGTGTCCATGGGATGAAGTCTTTAAAGGTAATCAGTAACGTAGGGCTGGAGAGACGGCTCAGAATTTAAGAGCTCTCACATGTTGGCTTACAATTTCTGTAATTCCAGCTCCAGGGGACCCGATGTCCTCTTCTGGCCTTGCAGGACACCAGACATGCATGTGGTGCACATACAGGCAAACACTCATGCATTTAAAGTTTTTTTTTTTTTCTTTTTTTAATCAATAGTGTTTCTCAGCTGCCGTGGTTTGAATGAGAATGGCATCCATCATCTTATATACTTGAATGCCTGCTCCATAGTTGTTGGAGCTGTTTGGGAAAGATTGGAAGGTGTGGCCTTGTTGAAAGAGGTGTGTCACCAAGGGTGGGCTTTGAGGTTTTCAAAAACTCAAATCATTCCATTTGGTTCTCTCTCTGCCTGGTGCTTGTTGTCTCAACATGTAAACTCTCAGCTACTGCTCTAGCACCATGACTGCCTGCTTGCTGTCATGTTCCCCATCACGAAGGCCATGGACTCATGCTCTGGAAGCATAAGCATGGCCCCACGACACTCTTTATAAACTGCCTTTGTCATGGTGTCTCTTCACAGCAATAGAAAAGTAACTGAGATGTAAGCCTTTGTAAAGATCTTAACAATGACACACGCAGACACAGGGCTACCGACCTGGTTTGGCTCTCAACTGGACACAAGAATGTTTTAGTTTTTGTTAAGATTATTTATTTCTATTTTATTTGTGAGACTGTTTTGCCTGAGTACACTCATGTGATTCACGTGGGCTCCTGGTGCCTGCAGAAGGCAGAAGAAGGAGTCGGATTCATTGGAACTGTAGTTACCGGAAGTTGTGAGCTGTCCTGCGTGGGTGTGGGCAGCCAACCTCTGGTCCTGGCAAGAGCAGTCAGCTCTCTGAACAGCTGAACCACCATCTCTCCAATCCTTGTTTTTTTTTTTTTTAATAAGTGCTCTTCCTTTGCTATTTAGAAATTTATGATGAAATAGAACTTACTTTTCAAACCCTCTGTCTTGTTGAAAATAGTGGGTGTGTTAATTTCATCCCTTCTCCCCCTCCCTTATGGTAAATAGAATAAGTCTCATAGAATTGTCATCAGTAAAAGGCTTCAATGGTCCACAATGACCAAAAATTATTTCAAAATCAAATTTGTAAAGGATCCCAGGTGTTTTGGGCGGTACTTGCCTGCGCTGGGCTGAGCAAGTCCACTGCAGCCCTTGCTCTGATGTGGG